GGCGTTATGCAAATCTTCCCACATTGTGATGTAGACATGTGGGGGCGTGTTAGAATGAGCCGTTTTAGGTAGGCGTGGTTAACTCTTAACTTTTATAAAGAATATCTCTTTGGTTTTGAGACTTTAGTGTTTGCAACTTTACAGATGTTTTTTATGCACCAAGAGCTTGTAACACTCCAAAGAGAAAGGAAAAATTGAAATCGCATCATATGACCCCTTTAAAACAAAATTATTCAAGTAGAATTCAAGTTTATTTATTCATTGCATTACACAATGGGCTAAGTAAGTTCACCACCCAAATACAGCATCTAATTGAATGTGTTTGTCTCATATGTACATGTTAGTGCTTGCTACTTTCATGTTGTTGTGTGTTTGTGGTGCAGGAGAGCTTACTGTAGTAGTGGACGATGCTGTATATGGGCTGGAAGTGACCCGTCAGCATGACAGGAAGTCTGGAGAAGATCTTAGTGCCTTACTATGTCTAGTTGCTATGGAAGAGTCACTGTGTGTAAACATCAACAGTAATTTAACACATTGTGGGTGCAGACGTCTTCATACCCAGCTGTCTCACTCTTTCCCTTGGCTTCGTTCTGCAGGTATGTTCAGCACCATTAGCAGACTCTTGTTATGGCTGTGTAGTGGAGAGTAGTATGTTTCTGTCTCTGTCTATTCGAGCAGGGCTTCCGCTGAACAGCAGCGCAGGTGTGTTTGTGAACTGGAATGACAGCAGTGTCTGTGCCCTACTGACACTGCATGCAGGGGCCAGAGGCCTGAAAGCCACACTGGAGCAGAGTTCACACCACAGCTCACAAACTACTGGATGCTCTCAGGTTAGAGTATCACAGTCAGTCAGTAATTGTGAATCGCTGAAAGGCTCCCATAGTTCTCAATTCTCATTCACACCAGCTAACACACAAGAACAAATGCAGTATTTGTGCGGTTTCTTTTCCTCCTTGTTCCTCTTCTATGTCAATGAATTGGCTGAACTTCCTGGCTGTATGCAAACAAAGAAGTTGCTGTGTATTAATTAATTCACCAGATTTGAACTGACGAAAGTCAAGATGTTCAGCGAATAATGAGTAATGTGTCATATGAACTACTTTATGGGGCTTTTATGGTCATTTTTGCCTTTTTATGAGCTTGACAGTCATAGTCTTTTATTCTGCTTAAAGGGATAGTTCACCCAAAAATGAAAATTTGATGTTTATCTGCTTACCCCCAGGGCATCCAAGATGTAGGTGACTTTGTTTCTTCAGTAGAACACAAAAACGAAGATTTTTAACTCAAACCGTTGCAGTCTGTCAGTCTTATAATGGAAGTGAATGGGAATCACGGCTTTGAGAGTAAAAAAAAACACACAAACAAAACCAAATTAAACCCTGCGGCTCGTGACGATACATTGATGTGTAAAGACACGAAACGATCGGTCTGTGCAAGAAACTGAACAGTATTTATATAGTTTTTTACCTCTGATGCACTGCAATGTCTGAACTGTCCTGAGCGCGTTCTCAACAGCAGGCGCGTGATGTGTCTTCTTCTTATTATTGCTTTACGGCGGATCGCAGACTTATAAGTGCATTACCGCCACCTATCTCTCAAATGGACCATTGACACTCTATCTACAATCTCAATTAGGAGTGTCAATGGTCCATTTGAGAGATAGGTGGCTGTATATCAGTATTCGTCAGGGTTTCATTTGGTTTTGTTTGTGAATGTTTTTTTTTTACTCTCAAAGCCGTGATTCCCATTCACTTCCATTACAAGACTGACAGACTGCAACGGTTTGAGTTAAAAATCTTCGTTTGTGTTCTACTGAAGAAACAAAGTCACCTACATCTTGGATGCCCTGGGGGTAAGCAGATAAACATCAAATTTTCATTTTTGGGAGAACTATCCCTTTAAAATCTTTCATACTCGCTAACGGTCCATTACCATTATTTAATGTAATAATACATTGAATATGAAATTTTCTCACCCTCGTTCTTCTGTGGAGCACAAAAGAAGATCTTTTGAAAAATGTTTCCATTGTATGGACAAAAACACTGAGACGTTTTTCAAAATATCTTATTTTGGGTTCTAGAGAATGTTTAATAAGCAAATAGTTTTGGTGACCATTGACGTCCACTGTATGAACCAAAAAAACACAGACATTTTGTCAAAATATCTTATTTTAAGTTCCACAGAAGAAAGAAAGTCATGCAGGTTTGGAACAACACAAGGGTGAGAAAATTATGACAGACTATTCATTTTTAGGTGAACTATACATTTAATATTTCTCTCACACTGTATAAATTGTTTTTTATAAAAAACTATGTAGCTGCCTTTATATGTCAGGAAAGGGGATCATCATCGATCACAAGGGTCCTTGGTGTCAAAAAGTTTGACAGATTTTGCAATGGAATAAATAAATATGCTAGTCCCGAAACCTTTCTAACATCTATATAGGTTGAACTTGGATCTGTGTTTGTTTTGAAAACACCTGTGATGCATACATTAATCACACTTAAACAAAGATTGATAATTACTTATTGAAGAATAAGCAGCATCAGTTTAACATGCATTAGTATCTATGTGGATGCCCCAGAAACCCCTTCTACACTCTGGGTCATTTCCCATGTTGATGAAGGGAAATGCCTCTGATTCCACACTCCTCTCCTACGAGCAAAGCAAACTGAAGGCCTGGAGGCTTGTTTTTACAGGTGAACTGCACAGAGGGGATCGACACGGGCCACCTGCTGGCCGTCTGCTCTGGGCAAGACCAGGAAGACTCACTGAAGGTATGTGGGTGAAAACATTTAAGAGCGTTTTTCTTCTTTTGAAGAATGGTTCAGTGATCGTTGTGAACATTGGATTGTGCTTGTATCATATGGTGAAGCACATCTGAACCCGTCCTGATATTTGTGTAGGTTGGAATCAGAGCCAGTCTTTATAACTCCCAGAGGTCAGCTTTCTCATTCGATCTTCAAGGTCACCACGATATCTCCAGGTACAGAAGTCTTGTAGGAAATGTCACAAAATTATTTCTTATTAGTTGAATGTACAGTACATGTATGAGTAGACTATCCAACTAACTCTTTTGTATTTTTTAGCATTGGACTAATGGTGAACATTTCCCACAACATATCTGCTTTGCATCCATACCTGCCATTTGAGTTTCACTCAAAATCACAGGTATGATACAATCATTTATAATGTTTGTTTTTAATTACTGTGGTTATTTTTTGAAAGGAATAGTACTCTAAATATTTTAAAGGAGCATTCAGTACTTCTCTGGCTAGCATTTGCATCGCTATTCTTCATGTACTTTACGTACCGATACCACAATGGTGTTAGACGCTGCACTGCCATCTATATTGTCCCTGAGTTTTATATAAATTACACTGATATTGGTGAGTTTAGAGAGCGGTCTACACAATAATTAACCCCTCACCTGTTCAACCAAAAAGAAGCCACTTGGACATTGCTTTGCATCAAATCTTTACACCTGTTTACTGTCTTTACTTTCTGTCTTCTGGCTTCAGACATTTTCTGCTGCTTCTCCCGTTGTTACCGCTGACAAAGCCCAATAATAAGTGTGTTTTGTCTCATTTTTGCTCTTTGAATCACCAAACAACACTACTAGCGTATCTACACTGGCAGCAGCCAATGAATGTGAGGATTCTCTCTTGCGTCTAGTGAAACACTGCAGGTCACGTCATTTCAGCATGGTGAAATATACTGAGCAGTGTTGGGGAGTAACTAGATACATGTAACGATGCACTCTAAAAAATGCTGGGTTAAATACAACCCAGAGCTGGGTAAAATAGGGACAAACCCAGCAATTGGGCTGTTTTGACCCAGCGGTTGGGTTAAATGTTTAACCCAACCTTCTGGGTAGTAACCCAACCACTGGGTCAAAACAACCCAATTGCTGGGTTTGTCCCTCTTTTACCCAGCACTGGGTTGTATTTAACCCAGCTTTTTTTAGAGTGTGTTACGTAATTTAATTACAAAATAAATGTAACTGTATTCCATTACAGTTACTGAGCAAAAAATTTGCAATTAAATTAGTTACTTATGAAAATATTAACAATTGCACACACTTACACACACTCTAAAAAATGCTGGGTTAAATACAACCCAGAGCTGGGTAAAATAGGGACAAACCCAGCAATTGGGCTGTTTTGACCCAGCGATTGGGTTGAATGTTTAACCCAACATTCAGGGTAGTAACCCAACCGCTGGGTCAAAACAACCCAATTGCTGGGTTTGTCC